CGAAGGACAGGGGCGGCGGACTGCGGCACATCTGGGCGTCCTGCCACTCCTGTCCTCCAGGGCGAGAAAAGCCCCGTTCGTAACTGCGGATCCGACATAAGTCGGATCCACGTAACTCGGGGACTGCCTGTAACAGATTGTTGCATTTTGCTTTGTTCTGAGATTGCTCTGTAATCCATCGTGTCAATTTATTTTTGCAGAAGTTGGTATACAAAAGGATGCAAGAAAAAGAAAAAAACAGATTTTGAAGATTGGACATGGTGGCACGCTAGATAGCGCAGCAACAGGAGTTCTGGGTAATTCTTTGTTGTTGTTTTTATTGACCGGGGTGGTCTTTTCTGGTCCCCTGATCCTCCTCCAGACTGTTGCCTTCCCAGCTGGCTCTCCCCCTCTTGCTGGCCCTGCTGTCCCGTCAGGCTCTGCTGCACTACTGAGCAGCCCCACTGTCTTCGTGCATCGGGCTCTCAATGTGGCACTGTGCAGCCCCACTTCTTCTGCGCACCTGGTTCCGCTGCAGAACCTGGCTCCTGCTGCTGCTCCGGGCAATCCTGTAGCCTCTGCGCCAGGCTCCCTCTGCCACACATAGGGCTTCTGAAGCCTTACTGGGAAGCCCCGCTGCTGCGCATGGGTCTCCCGCTGCCCTGCTGGGAAGCCCTGCTGTCCTGCCAACTTGCAAGGCTCACGTGCGCTAACCCTCCAGTGGGTCAGACCACGGATGTTTCCAGACCAGAGAGTACTAGTTAAGAGTTTCAGCCTGTACTTTTGCATGGCCAAGCTTGTGTTTTGTAGTTGCCATAGTTTTCTGTAGTATTTGTTATGATAATGCTTTATATTTCTACCATGTCTTTATCACAAGGGATCCCAAAGTGCTTTAGAAACTAGAGATGTGTAGGATTTAGTTCAGCTATGGAGTGCAACAATACAACAGTTCAGGATAGGAAGTGAAAAATAACACCTCTAATGATAAAGGCTTCAGTGAGGATTCTGTGTTTACTATCTTGGAGTGATTTCTTTATCAAGTGTGTTCCCTTTATTGGTAATGGAATAATTCCCACCTGTGTAAACTCAGCTTTGGGTCAGAGAGTCCAGATGGATTATTCCCAATTTGCACATAATGACCAATAATTCTGTTGAAGAACAGCATAGAGCAGAATCTGCAGCTTCCATCAGCTTACCTGTGTTGATCTGCTGGGAAAGGAATAAAACAGTAAAATTTCTGTTTTATAATTAAATGTAACAGTTGTGACTATGAATATACAGGCAGTCCCCGGGTTACATGGATCCGACTTACATCGGATCCCTACTCGGCTCCCCACTTATGTAAATGAAGCCTGGGAAATTCAAATCCCGGGCTTCATTTGCAAGTGCGGTATGCCTACATTACCTTCCTAGTTCGAACTCGTAGGGTAGTGTAGACATACCCTGAGGGAAGTGAGGTGTGGGAGAATAAAACTGAGCTCTGGAGAAATGTTTGGCTAGAGTTTCCCCTACAATATGTACCAGTTCCGACTTACATACAAATTCAACTTAAGAACAAACCTACAGTCCCTATCTTGTACGTAACCCGGGGACTGCCTGTACATAGGGATCAGATCCATGGAGTTTTGACATAGTCACTTCTCAAAGTAGAATTGCATTTCAGGGAAACAGAGATGTTTCAGTTGCATGTAGGCAAACCTATTGAAATGATACACACAGCTGCGTGGGTATTTGGCCTATTATGTGCAATCAAATAAATTGCCAATATGTTGGCAATTTTCTCTCTCCTCCGGCCTATATGTATTGTAAAATGTAATTTCCATAGACTAGAAGAAAAACTTTAGTTTGAATTTTCTGACTCAGTTGCCATTTGATGAATGATATTTCCTCTGATTCTGAAGTGGAAGTTGTGTTCTCTTGTTGCGATGTTCCCATTGAGCACATTATTTATTGTTGTGGGAAGTCATCAGCATTAGTACAGAAAAGAAAACAAAAAAAATCGAGGCTTTTTTAAATGCTTCTTTTACTGTCTTCTGGCAACCAATGGGCTCCTGAGTTTGCACTAGTGGCCTGACAGAAGGTATCCAAGCTTCACATGTGTTTGGTGCAGATGGAAAAGTGCATCACCTTAATATGTTTCCGATCAATGCTGCACAAGGGCAAAGGATGTTTTGTTCTAGTCACAGAGAAAAATCAATGCAAGCCAAATAGAATAGGACAAAATTGGCAGGTGGGTGGAGGTGAATGCTTTCAAATTTCTAACTGTGAGAAGAAATAGTTGGGGGAGGAGAAGAAATAACAAAAAAAAACCGTCACTTTAGTTAAATGTTGTCTGGTGTCTCCTGCGTATTGATGGTGGTGGGGGAAGATTTCTTCCACTTACAAACCAGCATCACAAGCAGACTTAGGCTACTGAACCTTTTCTCTTGATCTGTGGCCTCAACTTTCAAGACCTATGTTTTTTCTTCCTTTCTTGCTGCTTGATATCAGACCTTCTACTTCATTAAATGCTTTTCTTTTATTTATATACTAGAAAATTTACCTGGCGTTGCTTGGGTCCTTAACACAATTAAATTTTGTTTTTTGGAAAATAAAATGAAAAGGTTAACAGATTACCCAGTGAGCAGGTGGCACATCAGGCTGCTTACCAGGTAACTGGTTAATCAGTTCGGCTGGATGGATCTCCGAGGCTGTGGTGGGGCTGGAACTGCTCCTGCGGCCCGGCAGGGCTGGGGGCTCGATCACAGGACTTCTGAGATAAGATCCATCCGGTGGGGTAATGGATGGTGTTTGGTAGTTATCCATGAAATAGGTTCAAAGTGTGAGCAGCAGGTAGAGATGTAAAAACTCACTGAAAAAGTTAACTGGTTAAACATTTTGTTTAACTGGCTAACTGCTAGTTAAATTTACCAAAGTTGTGTTTGAATCGGTGACCTAGAAGTTAAAGGCTTCATAAAGCAAGCCTGTGGCATCAAGTCAGAGAGCCTGGGTCAGCTTACTTAGATGCAAGGGACTCATGCTACCCGGCTAAAAATAGCAGCATAGAAACTTGGGCTTGAAACAGAGGTGATAGGTCCGTGCCCGAACATCTAGATGGCTATTTTCAGTTCTCTAGTGCTAACCCAAGTCAGTTGACCCAGGGTTTGGGGATTGCAGTTGTATTTTTTTCTTCTTTGCAGCCTAGACATACCCCCATAGTATGTTATCGTCTCCCTCCCCTGCAATGTATTATGGCATTAAAATGAACGGAGATGGGAAAGTGCTATCGAGTGATTGAGACTGTCTCCCCGCCACTGTGGGATGGTTCTGTATGGAACATGCAAACAGCATTTTGTCCAGTCTGGTTCTAAATGTTCTGAGGGGTTATGGTCCCTGTGTTCTGAAAGTGTATCTACATTGGCAATAAAAGACCTGTAGTATGGCCACAGCTGTCCCTGGGTCAGTTGACGTGGGCTCACGGGGCTCAGACTGTGGGGCTATAAAATTGCAGGGTAGTCATTAGGGCTTTGGGATCCCTTGAGGAGGTGGGTCTCCACACTCAAGCTTCAACCTGTGCTCAAATATCTACAGTTGGTTTTAGTTCCACAGTCCGAGCTAGCTAACCCAGGCTTTGTGACTTGATGCTGTGGCTGTGTTAATATACTGTAGGCATACCCTGAGAGACTTCTCTCCCAGGCTGATTCTCCCTGTCATGGAGAATTTCATGATATCTACCTTAAAATTTCCCAGTCTGTTTCCTAATCTTACTCGTTTTACCTTCTTGTACCCCTCTAAATAATTTCCCTCCTCAGTGTTTGTACCCTTCTACATTACAGTTTTCCAGGTTTTTCCCTTTGAACTACTGAGCCATTAATCCTCCAGTACTCTCCAGTTCTAATAAGGTGCTTGGATACTCTGGAGCTGAGTCCAAACCCTCCTATTTTGTACATAAAAGTGTTTAAGTTCTTAGAAATCTTTTGAAACCTAAATGATTCGGATGGAAATGGCTATGCAGACAGATTATCTTCTTCCTTTTCACTTTATACAGAGGTTTTTCTTGCTTTCCTGAGTTTGGTAAGGAGTTAATGCTGCCAGCTTGCTAATTAATTTTCCAATTAATATGAATGATTTTATTCTCAGATGGTTTCTTATATGAATAGTCTGTTGTAGCAAGGTTATGTGATTCCATTTTCACATAAAACATTCACTATTCACATAATAGCGGTTTTGAAGCTGTCATTACATTTGCAGCTACATATCTCAAAAGGAAGCTAACGCATTTAAAGGACAACAAAGGTTTTCACCTTCAAGAGGGCACATGAGTTAGAAGTAACTAACATTGTCTATAAAACATTGTCCAACTACAAACATTCTTTTTTGACCATTTGAAGACTTTAGAGCAATTACAGAAGAAATCCTTTCAATAAGGACAATTGTTGAATTCTTTTTTTTTCTTTTGCAAAGGATGAAGAAGGCCCCATTTTATTACTTAGTTTCTAGTTCTGATAATGCAGTGTACCCTAAACCTCGCTCTCTGGAATATCCTGACTATACAAGCAGATTTCTTTCTAAAACCAAAGTATTTTAAGAAATTTGGCTTTCTTTAGATAAAGACCATGTCTTTACCAAATTAGTGTCTTGTACAAGTAGAAGTATTCTGTTCTTTAGAGTTTTCTTTTATATACACCTTTCAAAATAGTATAAAAATGTTAATTATTGTAATTTTGGCCTTGTACAGGCTTTCTGATAAAAGTTAATTACAAGCTGTAAATGTAGAAACCATGTGGACAAAAGACAAACAATAAGGGTACGTCTAGACTACATGCCTCTGTCGCCAGAGGCATGTAGATTAGGCTACCAGACATAGGAAAATGAAGCGGTGATTTAAATAATCATTTAAATTTACATGGCTGCTGCGCTGAGCCGACAAACAGCTGATCAGCTGTTTGTCGGCTCAGCGCAGCAGCCATGTAAATTTAAATGATTATTTAAATCACCGCTTCATTTTCCTATGTCTGGTAGCCTAATCTACATGCCTCTGGCGACAGAGGCATGTAGTCTAGACGTACCCTTATTGTTTGTCTTTTGTCCACATGGTTTCTACATTTACAGCTTGTAATTAACTTTTATCAGAAAGCCTGTACAAGGCCAAAATTACAATAATTAACATTTTTATACTATTTTGAAAGGTGTATATAAAAGAAAATATAGGCTGTTAAAGCAAAGCAGAAGTTTTAAAGTTGCATTCCAGAGCACGTGTAAACACTTGGAAGTAAAAGAATTGGTTTCATGGCTAAGGAGGTGTCCCCGTCATTGATCCTTTTGGTGCCTGTCACTGGTTGCCTTTTGGTGCCTGTCAATGGAAAACACAGATTTGCTATGGATTCCCTTAATTAGCTTTAACATTTGATTACATTCAATTAGGAACAAAAAGCTTGAGCATGTTCTTATAACGTTAGTCAGATATTGTATGTCCTAAACTGAATAAAGGCAAGCTTATATTACCCAAACAGATTACAAGTGAATTATAATAATTTTGTTGTTAAACATTTTCACATCAATATTGAGGTACATCCCCTACATGAGAGCATTGAAGAATCCTACCATGTACTCTTTGTGTGATGATGACAGTTTTACAACCGTGTGGTTATAATGTACCTAGTTTATCTTGTTTCCTTCTTCCTGTTGTACTACTACTTCTGAACACATGCAGAAAACCAGTGGATTAAGTTAGTAAAGAACACAATACTGTAGCTAGTCTTAACGTAAATTCTAACACCGTAAAGATATTTTATTGCCTATTTTCTTTTTGATGAAAATCTGATTATTAATCACTTTGACATGTCAAAAATGTAGCTTTAAAATTGAAAAAGCCAATGGAGCACGCAAACACATGAGCCTGTCTGTTTGATTCATAAATGATCCTATCAAGGGACTCAGGGACCTCTTGATTATTTTACTGTCTTGCTTGGCATGGATAGGACCAAGGTTAATTTCATTATGGTATTTGCCACTACCTTAGGTGTGTTACCTAGGCTGCTAATAACCTCTAAATGGTCCATTAGTTAGCAGTGATGACTTTAGCTCACTAATAATGAACCTGGCCAAAGACTTTATCAGCCCAGACTCTGAGCTCTGGTTCCTCCGATGTCTTTCTTTACCATGACTAAAAGTACTGCAAAATAAATAATTTCTATCCAATCATAGGGTAGAATTAGAGCATTTTAACAGTAGGCAAAGCTTATCTTTCATTTGCTTCTTATCCTTTTCTCAGCTCCGGAGAGGTATTTTCTCTTAGGCAATATCTTTATCTTTTGGTATCCTCCTCTAAAAAGACTCATTCAGCTGATCATGATAATTGACGCCATTTATATGCTAGTAGTGCAGGAAGTGTGGTGTTTTTGACTTGGGTGATATATAGCTATGAGTTGAATGATCGTGAGTAAAGGAAGATTGTGAATCTCGTTATTGGAATAGAATGCTGTAATATTTCTCTTTCTGTCTGCAGTGGTCGGTATTGGAAAAGGAACTAAAATGCTGAGCAACGTTTTGGCAGGTTCCAAGGTATGGCTAAATTATTGGTCTTAGTATTTTTTCAATGTCGAGGTGAACTGTAATACAGGCAACTAAAACGTGGCATTAAGCAAAGATTCAGAATGGCTCCATTCCTTCAAGGACCTAAAGTGTTTCTATTACAAGCATGCCAAACCATCTGTTGGAAACAACCCGTCCCTCTAACGTTATCACAGAGAGCTTACTGATTGATGATCGGGGCAGACTTTTTCAATGTTCAGTTCTCTGTAGATTTAAAATACAAGATGTAGAAACACAATCATGAATGATGTCCTTTAAACGTTGTAACTTTCTGTTTTGAAATCAAAGCATTAAAATCCCTTCCTGTGTATCCTTTTCTTCAAATATATATAAAAGAATAATGCTATGATTCTTCTGTCACAAGCTGTTGTGAAATTATATCGGTTCTTCATATCTACGTGCCTTTTTTTTTTTTTAAAGAAATGCCATGCGGTCTTAAAAGATGTGTTGCTACAGGCTGCTGATAACTACTAAATCTTCATCATTATTTTAAATCTTTGTCATTAGAATTGCTGTAATGGCTTGCTGCGACTACATTTTGCAAGCAGATATAGGCCTAGCAAGAATTTATAGATGCTGTAATGACACTTGTAGTCTAATTTGACACACAATGCACCAAGCAAATGTGACCAAAAATAGGAGAGGAGGATGAAAGTGATGCAAGTAATTTTATGTATTCATGTGATTCTGTATGTGTGGTTCCTGATGTTTCCAAATAATCTTGTTTAAGAAATACAAATCGTGGTTTCCTATGGGTTTATCGTGAGTTGGTTGATTTTTTTTTTGTAGGTGTCAAGAGGAAGTAGTTGGAAAAGAAGTAGTCACTGGTGTTCTGGGTTAATTCCATGGGGGAGAAGTCACTCCTTTATGTTGAATTTAGCGTGAGAAGTAGTGCGTAGACAGTTTCTAAGACTGATAATCAAACAAGCCTACTATGCAAATAAACAACCTTCTAGTCAGGTTTTCCTATTCAAAATACACTGGGCCCTTGGGAAATTATATTCTGCTAGACACCAGTGGTAAAGTGTCTTTGATCAGGGAAACATACACACATTTATATTGTAAACCCTTCAGAGCAGGATGGTCTATTTTTGTGGAGTTTGTACAGCCTCAGCAGGCTCCTGAATGGGGATGTTAAGAGTTATCATAATATGTATAGTAATAAAGTTAGTAAACTTAGCCAATAGGGTATACAGTCTTACAAAAGAGAAAAGCATCATATATTACCAACCTAAGAACTGATCCTGCGAACAGTTATTTGCCTAGGTAATGTTAGTCATGTGAGGAATTCCTTTATAGTCCATGGGGCTACTCACACGAGTGAATTCTGTGCATAAGTGCTTGCAGGATTGTGGCACCAGTTTGCAAAACACACGTGACAACAAGTGGATTTGGAGAGCTCTTGTTCTGCATAGTTAATAGATGGGTTCTTGATTCCCCTCTGGTTGTACTTGCTGGCTGGTGGCATCAAAATCTTGACTTGTGTGTTTACATTTCCAGGTCATAGATTTTGGGTAAGTGGACAAATGGACCTGCTTTAGTTAATCCAGAAGGGTTGGTTCTGGCTCTGGGTGTCAGGGGTTTTGCACACTATCTTGAAAGCTGAAAATGTCCAGTCCTGTTGTTTTAGAAAGTATTTTTGAAAATGGGCAAGAATAGGCAATGAAGAAATCAATTCAGCAGTCAAGTGCTCTCCGGATTTTGTTACTTTGGGAAAATCAATAATGACATTAAAATTATTGACTTTAAAGTCAATTGACAGCTCCTCTAATGCATTTCATGCTGACTATTTTTCTTCCTTTTTTCACCTCTGATACATGACCAGTAAACTATTTCTAGATGCTGTTATGATATGAACTAGACTCTGACTGATATTCACCCAGATTTATGAAGAAGAAATAGAAGAACATTTGTGGCCGTATGCTTTGATTTATTTGGAGATGGTCATGTTTTGAGCAGGAGGTTGAACTAAATGACCTCCTAAGGTCTCTTCCAATCCTAATCATTTATAATTCAGTAGGGCCTGATCCAAAGTCCCATGCACTCAACTGCAAATGCAGTTTTAGATATTGCTTTGGTAAGTCATTAGAACATCATAGAAAAGTTGTAGGAAATAACTTTGGATCCAGTGATCATGAGTTTATTTAGTTGAAATGAGATGAAAGGATAATCAAAGCCAAGCAATCAGCTATGGATTTTGATTTCAAAAGGGAACACTTTGGGAGGTTAAGGGAATTAGTTGAAAACGCCATCTTGGATTGAGCAGTGAGGAGTCCTGTGGCACCTTATAGACTAACCGAAGTGTTGGAGCATAAACTTTCGTGGGCAAAGACCCACTTCATCATCTGCATGTCAAAAGCATTTATCGCTTTTGCAGATTCAGATTAACACGGCTACCCCTCTGGTCTTGGATTGAGGCACTCAACAACATGGAAGAGGCTTGGGATTTATAGGCTTAAAAAGAAAAGGAAGGATGAGCCTTCGGCGCTGTGCAGTATGGATAGGAAGGAGGTTAAAGAGGTATAGCCCAAACACCAAATTAATCCTGTACCTTTGTTTTCAGTAAGAATGGTGACAAGAAACATGGATATGAAGGTAGGATGGTTGATGGAAGGGAGTGTGTAGAAAGGGAAATCATCACAGTTGAGGTGGAAGAAATATGCAAAGATCTTAATGTGCTCAGATGAGGAGGACCTGATATTTTCCATCCCAGAATGGTGAAAGAACGGGCATGTGAGATTGTTAGCCCAATCACAAGGATTTTAAATTTATCTTATGTAGTCGGGACTAATGGCATATGGCTGGAGTATAGCTAACGAAATTATATTTCAGAAAGGGAAAAAATGATCCATGCAATTGCAGACCTGTTAGTCTTCCCTCAATAGTATGCTTTAGAACCAATTGTGAAGGAAAAGATTATTAAATTCAGGGAGGTAAAGGGGATAGAATGCAACATGGTTTTGCCAAAGGTAGATCATGATAGACTTTCCTGGCTTCCTTCTTTGAGACATTAACTGATTTTTGCTAAGGGAAATACACTTATCTAGGGCATCTAGTGTATGTGGAGTTGTTAAAGTATTTTGGCATGGTACTACATGGGAAATTATTACATCAATTAAGAATATGGGATTAATACAAACACTGTAAGGTGAATAAAGAACTGGCTAAAGAAAGAAGGCAGTGGGTTATGCTGAAAGGTGAACTATTGGACTGTAGAGAGGTTACTTAAATATTAAGTTTGGTGTCAATCTTATTCACTATTTTTATTCATGAACTTGTCACCAAAAGTAGGAGGGGCTAATGATCTGGATGACTTTGAAGGCTGGAGTGACAGAAATGGGATGAAATTCAGGAGTACAAAATGTAAGGTCCACGGATCAAACAGTCAGAATTTCTGCTGAAAGTTGGTGGTTTGTCGTTTCGAAGAGTGCATGGGTTGATCACAAGGTGTCTGAGTCACCGGTGCAATTCAGCTGTGAAAAAGGCATATGTGATTCTAAGCTATCTCAGGTGAGGCATTTCCAGTAGAGATAGAAAGTTATTAATGCCCTTGTGGAAGGCACTGGTAACATCCCATCTGGAATACTGTGTACAGCTCTGGTCTCCCACGTTCAAGAAAGATGAATGCGAAGTGGAACCAGTGAGACAGAATAGCTCCTTGGATATAAAGGGCCTGTCTTAGGAGAATAGTGATAGAGATGCAGCCGGGTTAGTCTGGTCTAGCTAAAACAAAAGACAGACCTGTGTAGCACTTCAAAGACTAATAAACCATATTATTACTCTTTAAAGTGCTACATAGTTCTGTCCTTTGTTTTATCTTAGGAGAAGATCGAAAAAGATGTTGGCTTGGTTAGCCTAGTGTTGGCTTGTTTAGCCTAGCAGAAGGAGGCTGGGAGAGAATATGATTGCTCTCTATAAATGCATTGGTGAATGGGGAGGGGATAAACACCAAGAGGGGAAGAACTATTTGAGTTAACAGACCATGCAAATTGAAAGAAGGTTTCTCCCTGTAAGAGGAGTAAGGCTCTGGAACAGCCTCCAAATAATGGTTGTGGGGCCAGAAGAAACTTTCTCTCTGTATAGCTGGGCAAATACATGAGTGAGATTTGTGTGATGAGGTTGCCTGTGATAATAAGGAACAGCAGTGCTGGGGTTCGCTTCCAGTTTGTCTTGCGTTCCTAAAAACTCGTGCTTCAGTGCTTTACCTGGCCACCAGCGAGAGATCAGGAATCATTTCCGATACTCCTTGTCCCCAATGTATTGTGGTGTTTTTTTAAAAAAAAAATAATTTTTTTTTTTAAAGGTCGCTTTTTTTCTGATGCGTCCTAGAAAGCCGTAGGCTGAGATGAGGCACCGGTAAAGGTAGTCCAGGGCTCGGAGCCGGTGCTAAGCATTCTCTTTCTTAGGCATGTGACTGACTGGCACTTGCTTATATGCTCGAGCATTTTCCCCCAAGTCAGATTGGCAGTCACCTTGGAGGCTTTTGCCTTCCCCTGCTGAGTCTGGGTGCAGATCACTTGCAGGAATCATCCAATTATATATTGCACTCGTTTCCTTGCCGTTCTAGAGGCCCCGGCATTGGTATACCTCAGCTCCTCTGATTTTTCTCCCCCAAAATAAACCAGAGAGTAGGGCCGATGTTAGATTCCCTAGGGCCCAGTGCTGAAAACTGAAGCCTGAGCAGCTGAGTTTCTCAGGGCTCCCTGTGGTGGGGCCCTGGGCGATTGGCCTGCTTGGTACCCCTAGCACCAGTCCTGGCTTTTATTCTACTGGATGTGTAGAAAAACAGCTGTGGTACAAGTGGGCCAGGGGATTTATAGTATGTTGGGGGTCTCGGAAAGAAAAAGGTTGAGAACCCTTGGAATAAATTAGTGTGTGAATGGCTGTGCTTTCTCTGAGAGATATGAGGTGGCCATGAGGGTATCATTGCTTTGGAGAAAAATCTCTGGCCCAGGGATCTCAACCACCTG